AGTCCCAAGGAACCATATATAAGTGGGCGTGGGGAGTCATATGTCAATGTGCCAAAGGAGCTTTATATCGTTGGTAAWAAGGAAACKTATATMTCTGTGCCTGATGGTGGTCGTATTAAGGAACAGTCYCGGCCTGGAGGTTATGGTCCTGATGGCGCTAGTGACTCGCCCAGGCCCTCTCCTAGTGATAAACCACAGGGATTCCGCGAATTAAACCATGATGTCATAAGTCAAGACACTACAAKAGGTAGTCAAACAGTTACATTATGGCCTGAAAAAGATTGGACCAATAAAACCACAGATCAAGTCACTTTATCAAAACCGCCGTCAATACAAAGAAGATTTGCGGGCTCACCAGCGTTATCTGTGACGTCAATTGAATCTGAATATACGGACCTTCCTTCAGTTAGTCGTCCTAGTAAMAAAACAAATGTTGCTATGGTAACACCGACGTCACCTWCGACATCATCAAAGACAAAACTTGATGATGTAAAGGCACGTGYGTTGGCGAGAAACAACRAAAAAAGTGTARTTAAGCCTATATCGATTAGTGCCACACAGAGAGGGACTGGGACAGTACGAAACTTAACCAATGACAATAGAGGATATAAATCACGTGATAAGTATATAAAAAATAMCTCACCTTTGCCTTCTAGACCGCATGTACTTATTAACGGTCGAACATCTAGTACGAGCTGAGATAGATGTATACCATTACCTAGTTGAGTTTGATGGTGCAAGATGTAACGCATTCTTTTGTGTTGTGTGACATTGAAAGAGTATTGATTGAAAGCGTGACATCAAGACAGATATTTATTAAATGCTATTTATTAAAATAAACTTTTTATATATCTGCGGCCCTGGTTAAACTCTTTACTTGAAAGTATGAACGAGAACTAGTTTTGTAAAATTGGTTGGAAAGTGAATAAAACTGCAAACAAGACGAAAGGAGGAATCCTTGCTGATGCATTTTCTTGTTTTTCTCTTTCTTGTTTTTGAATGTCGTTTTTTTCTATTGAAGACGTACAACAATAAAAAAGCTTTGCTAGTAACGTATCCAGTATCGACGAGGAGGCCTGGAACACCATTATCAAAGGTTATGAAAACTTTTAATGAGTAAACTACATTCATCTCTAAGATAGTTTATTAACATCTGGTGACAAAGACTATTTCCGGTTCTAGAGTGAAATCTATCTATCGTTCTTGGGAGGTCTTTTCCTTTGTTATATTGTCATACTATTGGTTTCTTTTGTTCTTTATCAAACACTACTAACTAAATTTGCATTCTCATTTCACGGTTAAACGAGTCTCTACACAATCGGTTCGAATTTTGAAAYATTATATTAAAATATTGTAAGGTTGTGATTGCTATCATTGTATAAAGTATAGATTACATGGAAAGAATCTCACATTCCATCGTTTTTGTTTGCAAATGTTTAAATAGTGGATTTTTAATTAATGTATTTTTTTTGGGGTGGAAAGGGATATTCCCGTGAAACAAGGTGTGATAGTCAGGTGTTCATTTCAAGAGTGTAATATCTACTCTTCACGGGTTTAGTGCCTTTATTATCATCACGTGACATGTCAGATGATTAGTGATTGGAACAAGTAATAAATGATCGATTAGCAAAATTGATATAAAAAACACTATTTCATTATGACATTACTGTCAATCTCTTATAAACCACCAACCATCATAATGGCTTGATGAAAAACCTTTTTTTATAAAAAATCACGGCCTTTGAACAGAATTCCTAATATACTATTTTCGTGCGATAGTGTAAACGAATAGTTTTAAAGGTTTAAGTAGTGTTTTGCGTAACATGATACGTAACAAAATAAAAGTAGACTGATGTAGTCATTCAAGTACATAGTAATATCCCTAAGAGCATATCCCTAACGTTCAAGGGGTGTGTATAGCTAGAGTCAATAATGATGGGTATGTTTAATGAAGGCTTTTAGGCCTMTATGCTAATCTTATATGGTCGAATGAAGATTGTAAACAGTCTAGTAGACTCCAGATTAATATTTGATTTTGGGCTTGGCTTATATCTATTTATCTCAAAATTGTTAATAATGTTATCAGTGATGTATTTCCTGTAATRATCAATCGTTTCAGTTTCCATATCTATCAAAGGTTTGTTTGGATTTGTGTTCATACAAGTTTCAATACATTTTAGTGTTGTTTTGGCTGTCCACTGTGAGAACCATCATGACGTCACTATATATGGATTAACGAACCGTCACAAAAAAAAAAAAACGATTCAGAAAGTTCTTCGATCAAAACAGTCGCTCAAACTRCGTTGAAGAAGAAGATGGAATGGTTGACACTACAACTGATGTTGGCGTTTGCTTCTATAGGCAGTGGTAAGCACTTTATTCAATCTTAGATAAATATGTAAGCAATTTATGATATAATTTACTAACTTTGGAGATCTTGAAACAAAAGCTGAGACCACCTCGATCTTGAAGTTAATACCTTGCGATGTATGTTTAAATCAATGTAACAGTTTTCCTTAGATGTAGTTTAGTTCCAGACTTTATATTTTTCAATATTTCTCAGCAGGAGATATTTTTTTCCTTACTATTTGAATACTAATTCTTGGCAGTGAGATGACCTGTCTTGCCTTGTATACAAAGTTCTTCTAGTGACACTGAGTCTTTGTACAAAGGCTACATATTTTAATACAAAAAGGAGTCGCGCGCATTGTACATATTTCAATACAGCGGTTCATAAAGAAAATTGCTGGATTAATATGATTTTTAAACATGCTTTGCTCATCATAGTACGTCTAGCTATGTTATTTGATCAGTAAAAAATGCGTTCAATATCGATGGCATATCTATTAAACTATGCGTAAACTGACTCTTGCTCGGGACAAACAATGACAAGAATCATATCGTTAACATTTCGTTTTTTTATGGCTTTTCAAAGTCAACGCTAGGTAATTTTTCCCTGCAAATCAGATCAAATCACACAAAACACGCTCATTCAGTCTAGCATAGTTGCAAGCGGAGGTATAAATCACGATATTGCGGTCCTTGACCACGGGTTTCTTGTGGTATAGTCAGATCATAGTTGAAGYGTTTTATCAGCATGATATACATCATATTGATTGACCCCCTGTACGAAAAGGTTTTCCTAACAGGACTGGGTTGCGCCATATGTAATATAAAAATAATCCATATAATTCACCCATATAAAAACTCAGTAACAATAGCAGACTAACATTCAGATCACTTTTTACAGGCATTTTCTGGACGAATGACTCTATATATCACCGGATTTTTTTCGAACTCTCGATCAAATGTCCACAATGTTTAGGATCTCTAAAATTCTTCAAACTATTTTATTCGTTCAATCACTCATTTTAATCTAGTCTATAACTAGACTCTATGGTGCTGCAGGTGCCACCATTAAAAGCGTTAATAATAGAAATCATTTCCAAACGATGTGTCAATCCAAAGGTCTGTGTCCATACCAATGATATACCACAGGTAACCCATCTTTGTCTTTTTCAGTTTGGTCGCTGAACTGCTACGAGTGTTTTTCGTATGTTTCACACAAAGATTGTGAAAACCGTTACAACTTAAAGGAAGTCAAGTGTGACAGCAGATATGACACTTGTGTGAAGTT